GCAGGGAAAATCCTTGACAGAGAATTGCCTGACCTCAAGTAGCAGTTGCCCTGCAGCTGTCAAAACCAAAACCAAAACCAAAACCAAAAACCCTGCTGTGGTCTGGCCTGGGTCTTCCAGCTAGTCGTGTAGCCAGCCTGAGAAATAAGGGTGTCCAAACAACTGTTTATAAAGAATTCTGCAATTTGCCTTTTATTTCTGCCCTAACGCGCCCAGTCATAGGTGTCATGGCTAGTTTGGCCTCTTCCCAGAGCTGCTGTATGACCAAGCAGGTATATGAACAAGAGATGTTTTAGCATGCTTTCCACAGAACCTGGTAGAAGCCTGTGAGTCTGGCCCATACACCCTCAGTCTGAGAGAACCATGGGACCCTCTTTTTGCTCTTTCTATTCCTATCTTTCCAGTCTGGATCCTCTCACCCTATCTTCTGCGTCTCCCCCACCACACCCCCGAAGATTAATGTGATAATTGCCATGTGCACCTGTTTACACAGGGTGTGGGTGAGCTCAACCACCCCCAATCAGGCAGGTTCCCAAAGAAACGAATTCCTACAATGTCAGAACTGGTACCTGCTGAGCACTCCTGTGCAGGTGGGCCGCCACCCCCAAACTGCTTTCTCTGTCATCACCTTTGTCATGTGCACTTGTGCACGTGTATGTCATTCGGGGAATTGGCAGGTGAGGAGGGAGAACAGCCTGCTGCCAGTTAGGGAAAGAGCCAGACTGAAGCAGTATTATGGACGAGAAGTTCATGAGCACCTTAAAGAAGAGGACCGTGACCCACAGAAAAGCACTCTGTTTAATAGGGTGATCCAGAGATACAGTATCAATAGGACAAAGGAGAAGGATTTAGTAGAATTGGTGCACATGATCAGAGGCTGGGAAGTTCCCTAGGAGGCTGTGTGCAAGATGGTGAACCAGAGGACCAGCGGTGTGACTCTGTCCAAGTCAGGAGCTTCAGAACTATGGAAGATGATGGTACAGCTCCTAGACCAAGGCCAAATAAATGCCCATGAGTCTTTAGTTATAAGCCCCATTATTCAAATTCAGTTCACACCAGAGTTGTAATGTCCAAAGGCAGAAGAACAATGGTGTCCTGCTCTAGGGTGGAAAGGACGAAGAGGAGGGTGTGACTATACACGTGTTCAGGGAAGTACATGAGCGTCATTTCTTCACCTTTTCATTTTTCCATTTGACCTCCTACAAGTGGGAGTCACCTGTGGTCACATCGTTATGTCTCCCCTTAGGCCCCTGATCCACAAGCCAGTCTTGTCTGGTGTGAAACAGTGGTTACCCAGGCATCCCTCAGTCCAAAGTTAAGCATTATAGCAGGTGTTTCATGAATGGAGTGGAATGAAGAGGCTGCTATTCTCTGAGCAGGACTCTTTACAGGGAAGAGCCTTATTCACACTTAGTTGTTCCTCAGTAGAGTTCTGGGTGGTAGATGGTCCCCTATGAGATCCTTCTGGGACAGGAATCCAGAAGAATATGTTTTGGAAGCTACAGTTTCATGCCTCAGGATTTTACCTGAGTCATTAGCATGACTGTCATATATTCTTGAAGAAAGAGTCACTGGGTAAAATAAGGTTTGAGGATCCTACACCTAAAAGTGGCTTGTGAGCACTGTGACTGTTATAGACAATGAAAGGAAGAGGTTCTCTCCATCCCCAGGGCCTGTTCCTCACCTCCTCCTCCTCCTGCTAGAGACAGACATGGGCACAGCTACAGCACAAAACAGCCACAAGTCTGTGGCCACACTGGCAGCAATCTCCTGACTCCCACTTTGCATGATATCAGAATGCTTGCTGCCTTCAGAGTTGTTGATTGCTTCTTTTTTTAATCTCAAAACACACTTCAGTTGATGTCTCTCCTACACTGGACAATTTTAAATTTTTAATAATGATGAATCAGAAGGAGATGGAGGCCCCATTTAGCATCATAAAGAACCTTGCCATTTTGACAAAGGGAAGCATGGAATCCTTTGCTTGTCTGCTTGTCTACTTCCTAAGGAGGGAGTGTTCCCTGGTCCTGTTGGCTATTGATTTTTAATAAACTTAAACTTGTGAAGGGATGAGAAGCTATATGGCCAGGAAGATAGATGAGGGAGGGCAAAGAGGAAACTGCAGGGTAGGAGCTAGGTGTGGAAAGAGCATAGCAACAGCATTAAAACCTCCTGAGTGATTCCAGGGAGCTGTCAAGTCACTCTCCTTAGAGAACTGGGTAAATTGTCAGTCATTTTTCTTAACCCCCAGGGCACATGTTGCTGGGGCTGATGTCTTTCCAGCTATTCCTGTTCTTTTTCTTTCTCTTCCTCCTCTTCTTCCATGATACTTCAGTGCTGAGGTAGATGATATCTGTAGCAATTCAGAGAAAATTCCATAGATTGAGAAAATATAATTAATTTGTATTGGTCTATTTTTAACAAGAGAATCATCTTATTCAAAGTGTGGCCGTTTATTAATTAGTTGCTTTTATGTGTGCCAAAGCCTTTGTCACATTCCAGATATAAAAATATGTAGACAGTCCATCCTTAATATGGCCTAAAGTAAGGTTAAAATATTCTTATACAATTCTGACTGAACCGATACGGTTCATTATGAGTGTTTTATAGAAGAATTGGGGAGCACATTCCAGACTCTCAGCCAATAAGGGGAATTCTTTTATCCTTGTGTTCACAGGATATATTTCCTGATGTATTGTTGGATTTTCTTTGAAAAAGTTCCATAACAAAGTTTATGAAATGGTATAATGAATTAATAGTCCTTATTTACACATCTTCTTGCTTAAGGCTTATATAATCTGCTATATTTCCCCAACTTTCTCTGACTATTGAGCCCATTTTCCACGAATTATCATCACATCTTACAAATCACAGCCATGAAGAGAACACAAGGCAAACACAATTTTGTACATGCATTTTACTTTATAGCAAGCTTTGCCAATAGTTACCCCTTAAAAAGTTCTCTGAGCTGTTCTCAAACTATGGCTCAGTTTGAGACCAGAGATAACTTAAAAGCCACAATTCTACCATTACCCTTGCTGATACTGACATGTTTATTGGCAGCTGAGCTCTGATCTAGGTGCTTGGTGTATAAACTCAGTCCCTGCTGTGAAAGAACACTGGAGGGGACAAAGCCATAGAGTATGTGAATCATGTTAATCTGGAGCCACTGGTGAATCATTGACATTAACTCTGCTTTCAAAAATATTTGACTTCTCATGAAGGAAAACAGAACTAGCTCTAAAGGATCACTAATCCATCCCTTAGCTCACATGAAGGCTATCTCAGGCAAACCAGCCTTCCATGTTTGTTCACACCCCTTGGGGCTCTTGGCATCCAGGTCTTCTGCGTCTTCTCCTGGTGATAAGACACTGCTTTTGCTGAGATCTGACTCATGTCTTCTGTATTTGTATTTAATTAACCAGACCTGGTTAAGCCAAAGAGCTAAATCATAGACAATGAAATTGGCAGGTCCTGACTTTGTTCCATTCAGTTTAGAAAGTGTTTTACGGTTTGTTTGTGTTTAATTTTGAGTCAGCTTCAGTTGCAGTCATCTCTCTCTGATCAGTGCTGAGGCAAGACAAAAGACAGAAGTTTGCTAAAAAGAGGTTGTCTTCGAGGTTATTTTTAATGGGAGACTCAGCTCTACAGTGATAATAACCATGATTAATTGGCAGATTTATTTTGTGAACTGACACTGAATGGGAAACAGAAAATGAGTTAATTGGGGAGGAGAAAAAAAAGATAGTGTTATAGACATCTACAAAGAAATACAAGGACAACAACTCAAAATATATTTTCAAAGTGCAGTAGTAAGATGGAAAAAGACATACATAGAAGGAATGGACCAACACTTTGCCATAGAAATTCTTAGTTCTGATTTTCATTTTAACTTAGCATGCTAGTTTTAGGTGTGGCATTTGATCCTGATTGCCTTGATTCTCCAAATGAACTGGGAATAAAGCATTTATTGTGAATTTCAAATGGGTATTGAAGTTGATGTGTGAGAGATGGAGTTTGGGGTGGATTAAAAGATCTATACATGTGAAATGCAACTCAGAAAGACCATTTGGAAAGTACTGGGGAGGGAGAGCCCAGAAAAGCTAGAAGAACCCTTCGTTAAGAGACAGGGGTGCTAGAGAAGACATGTCAGTGTTCTTCAAGCTCTATTTCAAATCAAATTAAGATACCCTACCAAAGGTGCTTCTTTTGGCCAGCCATGTGGTAAGTTGTATTTCCTTAGTTCCATATAGTTCAAGGGCTTTGCATCCAACTTGGGACACAAGAATCTACCTATAGATTCCTGTGTCTTTTTCACTTTTTTTGTATTAGCATGAGGTAGGGGAGAAGGAGGAGGAAGAGGAGGAAAAGTGGGAGAGAGAAAGAAAGCTTAAAAGACCTTATGTGATACCTCTTCAAAGTCAGATATATTCCTTATTCTATGTAGAGCCTTGCTGGGGCCAGGCCTTGGCCAGCTCTGCACTACTGTATCATGTCCAAAGAAGGAAAGTCAGCACCCAGGTCAGGGGCTGAACAAGACAAGGATGACATTAACTTCTTCTAAGTAACCCTACAAAGGGCTTTGCTGCCATCCATGGAATAAGGTGATAGGCACAGCCTGCCCTTCTCTTTTTGACAGTTTGCCAAGTTTAGGAATGCAAAGGCTTAAAAACCACATCATCAAGCATTAAAAAACCAAGTGATGTTTATATGACTTTGGAAAATTATTTGGCTTTCACCACTCAGTTTTCTTACCTGCTAAGTGAGGGTGTTAGAGTTTTCCCACTCAGGATATTATGGAGAAGCTGATGTGGTGCCTACACTAGGGACATGGCAGAACATGAGTTGCCCCACAATAAAACAAAATGGGGATTGGGTTAGATGTTTAACTGGATTGTACCGTGCTTGTTACATCATCTTGTGTGTGAAGCTTCTGGAATGTAGACCTTGCTTCTGGGTGATGGCTCTAGATATTAAGGAAGCACTTTTCTTTCTTTCAGACCAATGATGCCTTAGGAGCCACCTGGAATTGGCTGTACTTCATCCCCCTCATCATCATTGGTTCCTTCTTTGTTCTCAACCTTGTCCTGGGAGTGCTTTCAGGGTAAGTCAGATATTTCTCTCTCTCCTTTGTTAACTGGGGGCTGGGAGCTAATGCCTCTTGACTCATGACAGGTTCATTCATTTAACCTTCACTTAGAAGACACTTACCGAGCAGCCACTTTGTGCCAGTGCTGTCCTAGATGCTTGAATGTAGCAATGGATGATTATTCTAATCATCTTTATTCCTTTTAGACATTAAAACTCTGTTTCATGTACAATCCTGATGTGGTATTTTGTGGTTTGTTTATCCATTCACGTGTCCATATAGTAACTCTGTGTTTGACACTGTTGTTAGGGACATAAAGTTACATAAATATAATCCTCAATAGATGCTTGCTCTGTAGCCTATTGAACATCAAATCTCACATTTGTGACTTGAATTCACTTATATTAATCTGCAAGTGTCAAACACTATGGTCGGCATTAGAAAGAGCACACAAAGAACAGGGCCTGGTTCCCTAGTTCCTCCCCTTAAGGAACATGTTTTGCTGAGAAGGCATTGCAATAATTTGAAACAGAGAGTGTGAGTTCTTTTACTGATTGATATCAAATGCAATAAATTGTTTTGAAGAAAGAATCTTTACCGTCTAAGTCATTAGGGTTGGTTTCAAGCGGGGCTAGGAATTGCTTGAAGTATAAGATATATACTAAGATAACAGAGTACATGGAGTAACAGCCTAGCAAAGATGAAGAAATGGACATGACATGGGGTATAAAGAGGCTGTAATGTGACATTTTAAGATGGCTCAGACCAAGGAAATAGTTTAGGAAACCTTACATTTTACTAAGCAAAACAGACTTTTTTTGTCCATTGGCAAAGTTTCTTCAAATGATAACATGTAAAGTGATCCTTCTGTTTACACCTGGCAAATTGACCCAAGCTGGTTATTTTTTGGAAACTTTATGAATACAGGAAATAAATGTTTAAAGAATTGCACAAGGACAAAGACAATGGGAAGAATGACAGATGAGAATGTAAACAAAACTTTAGATACAATAAATGGTAACTGACATAGTAGTTGTAAAAGCTGAAGTTTAATTGCCTACATTGGAGAAAGCCAATAAAAATGCCCTGATTGCCCTTCTGAGCCCCAGAAAGGTTCGGGAGCTAGAAAGGCCAATTATTCTTGAGCGTTGGCATATGTCTGATGTTAAAAGGAAGAGCTGGGTTGAAACTCCTTACTATCCCTCAGTCTCTAGACAAATACTGACAAGTATTTGTTTTTTGTGGTCCCCACCCTTGTACAACTTAGCAGACCTACTCTCTCTTGAGGATTGAATCAACAAGGCTTGGAATGGTAACACCTGCTGCATCCTAGGGTGGGCTTGATGTGTTGCCATGGAAACAGGAGGCTTAAGTGACAGTCCATAAGCTGAATGTCAGTTCTCCAGCCCACTTCTGTTTTCTCAGAAAAGCCTCAATCTGACAGTTTAGAGGACTCTTCTATGGGGAACCTGTCTTAAGAGAAAAGGTCTATACATCCCAATAACTGAGATTAGGAAAACAGTTTCCCATCCCCATCACCTCTAGTAAAGCTCAGTATGTTAATTCTCTATGGCTATCACAAATAATCACCATCCAGGTAGCATAAAACTTACAGAAATTTTATTCTTTTGCAAAAAACCTCAAATCTGGCAGGTACATGCTCCCTCCAATAGCTTGAGGGGAGAATTAATTCATTCTTCTTCCAGCTTTGGTATACCTGGGCATTCCTTGGATTACCACCCCGTCACTGTGCCTTTATGCTCAAACCGCCTCTTCCCCTCCTGTTTCTGTCATCTCCCTCTGCCTTGCTCTTATGAGGATACTTGTGATTTGGTTTAGGATCATTGGATAAACAAGTTTGATCTCTGTCTCTGAATATACTTTACTGCATCTGCAAAGGCTCTTTTTGCCTAATAAGGTAACATTGAGGAGTTCGGGAATTAGGATGTGAACAGTTTTTCGGAGGTATTGCCATTCAGCCCCCTGTACTCAACACTCCAGAAGCCCCAGCTGCGTATGTAACTGTCACTGCTTTGCTTGTAAATATGAGCACACAGCTACGGATCATCAGCATTTGAGGAAAATGCTCCACATGAATGTCCAAAAGCAAAACAATAAAGTGAAAAAAAAGAACATAAGTGACTAGGAACACTGCAGGGGGTAAAAGACAACTTTAAGAGAAACTACATTTGATGCCAGCCGAGATAGAAGAGAAATAATTTCATCTACAAAATAACAGGTCATTACAAGAAGATTTTGAGATTAAAAAGAGCTTTCGGAAATTAATGCAAAATGTAATTGATGTAAAACTAGTGTAAAAATGAATTAGTGTAAAGTATAAAATAAAGATAGTAAAGTTGGAGTATAAAATTGGGACACCACTTAGGAAGGGGAGAGAGAGAAGAGAAAGGAGAGAGAGAGAGAGAGAGAGAGAGAGAGAGAGAGAGAAACTCAAAAGCAGGGTGTGATGGCATACACTTGCACTCCTAGTACTTGAGAGGTAGAAGCAGAAAAATTACAAGTTCAAGGTTATCCCGGACTATGTAGTAAGGACTTGTCTCAAAATATTTATAGTTGACCCAACATTTGAATAGAACAATTGAATAAAGAGAACAATGAGATGGGAAGGAAAAAATTACTATAGAAAAATACAAGAAATGTTTCCAGAACCAAAAGGCCCACATTGCCAGATCAAAAGCTCTGTTGAGACATGTGCAAAGATGTTCTTTTCATTGTGGTTTCTTGGCAGTGGGGGCAGGAAGCATCCTGGGTCTCCCATACTGGTAGATTAGATGGGCAAAATGCTGACCGCATACCACGGCATATGGTATAACAGTTAAGAGCAACAGATAACCATGTGCACATGGAGCACAGGGTACCTTCAGAATGGTTTAGTGAAAACAAGAACACAATGTGATATCATTTACATTTGTACATGTAGGAAACACAGTTTGTAAAAATGCATTCAGATGAAAAGTTGCGCATTGACTATATTGTAATGATAGTTTGTATGGTAGGGTGATAGAATGTGGATGTGTTAATTAGCCATGAAAATGTCTAATGGGCACTCAGCGTCGCCAATAAAAAAAAATTACATCAAGGCACACCATCATAAAATTCAGACCATCAGAGTAAAGAATGTTCTGAAGCTTTTAGCGATTGCAAATGAGGTAAAAAGTCTAGCTACGAAGAGTGAGAATTGCATTGGGCTCCTCAATGGCAGCACCGAAACTAATACAGATTCTAAAATTTCCAACAGGAAAATACCTTCAGGATCTAATTCTATACCTAGCTAACATAAATATTCCTGTGGATAGAATATCAATATTATCAGACACCTTTGTGCAAGAAGTTACTAGAGAACATGAATCACTAAGAGCAAAGAAGTAATTAAGAAAAACAATACTCTGGATGAGAAAGACAAAGATTGAGTCCCAGTATTATGGTGCAAAAAGTATAAGATGAAAACTATCAATGGCCTAAGAGGGCATCAGAATCAGACTTAAACTGGGTGACAGAGGGTTCTAAAAGTTCTATCTTTAAGAAACAAGTGACACTAACATATTCTCTGATGTATTGTATTCAGAAAGGTTGTGTGATTTTTGTCAAAACTACTCTCTCATACAAAACTACTCTCTCCCTCCCTCTCTCTCTCTCTTTCTCTCTCTCTCACACACACACTAACTAAATCCAAGCATTTAATCCCACAAGATATGAGATGGCTCAGTGGTTAAGAGCACTGACTGCTCTTGTAGAGGACCCAGGTTCAATTCTCAGCACCCACATGGCGGCTACGAACTGTCCTTAACTTCAGTTCCAGGGGAGTCTGAAGCCCTCTTCTGATGTCCGCGGCATTGCACAACACGGCTGCACTCACATACATGCAGGCAATACACTAGTATGCATAAAATAAAAATAGTAAAATATAAAAAAAAATACAAGCACAGCAAATCCTCTCTGTAGCTCAGCTGCCAACCTGACTTCCATTGTTGATGCTGAAGTTTGAGCTAGCCTCTTAAAGTGTTAGGATTGCTTTTATTGGATTGGGAGAGGCTGAGTATGGGGATGGAAATAAGATATCAAAGACTGAAATTTAGGTTCCGCAGTAAGTCTTTAAGCAGTTTCTAAAATTGAAAGATAAAGAAATAGCAGTGTTTTAAGTATAATATTTAGAAATTTTGAAATGAATGCCAGAAGAAACCGGACTTGAAAAGGTTGCCTCTGGGGATTGAGATTCAACTTGATAAAGGGGAGGCAAAGGGCTGCTACTTTTTCATGATAAATCTTTCAAAATTATTTGACTTTTAAAGTTCTATATGCATTACTTTGAGAAAAGTGGAAATTAAAAAATTTTAAGTAAAAGTATCACGCAAATAGTGTAGGAGGCCAGAGTGTCTAAGAGCAGGCATTTAGCATCAGTGAGGGGCAGAGGGCATTGGCACAGCATAGGAGAGGTCAGATGCAGAAGGATCAAGAAGGAAACAATTATGCCAGTCTAAATTTGTGGCACTAAGACTGTGGCAGTGACTTGTGAAATGGTTGAGGAGGAGAAATGACAGACACTGGAAGCTTGAATGGAGTCTGAAGGCATAGTGTCATAGTAAATATAAATACTTATTCAGTGAGCATTTATTAACATCCTTTGCTATGTATAGTTACACAATACTCTAAGTAACTTTATATAGCCAATATCGATAACTCAAACACATTTCCTCTATGACTGTCCAAAACAGAGGGCTAACCATGGACGTTTTCTCCTTGTATAGTGAACGAGGATATGTACCAGTTTGATATCAATCTAACGTTTCATCTTTACTCATTTCCTAAGTGTGTTTTTAGTTTAGTTTGGAAAGCACAAGACAGATTCCTACTATTTTTAATGTATATTTTTATTGACTTTTAGTGCATTTCACATAAAACATCTTACATCTTTATACCCCTCCCCTATCCACACCCCCATATAGCCCCCTGACTGGGTTTCATGCATTATATCATATATGTTAAGGCCTATCAAG